TCTGGTGTCTTGACTACTGCTTCCATTAGTGTTGATTGTGGAACCAAGTAATATGAAATCTTTGACAATTTCAACCTTTTCTCCATTTATCATGATGCTGCTTATTAGTCCACTTGTGAGGATTTTAATTTTATGTTGAGGTGTAATCCAAACTGCAGACTGTAACCTTTAATTTTCACCAGTAACTGTTTCATGTCACCCTCACTTTCAGCAAGAAAAGGTGTGTCATCTGCATACCACAGATTGTTAACAAGTCCTCCTCCAATCCTGATGCCATGCTCATCTTCATATAGGTCAGCTTTTCAGATTCTCTGCTCACCATACAAATTGAACAAATACGGTAAAAGGATACAACCCTAACACACTCCCTTTCTGATTTTAAACCATGCGATATCTCCTTGTTCTGTTTGAGCAACAGCCTCCTGGTGTATGTATAGATTCCTCATGAATACAATTCAGTGTTCTGGAATTCCCATTCTACTCATTATCCCATTATCCCAAATTTGTTATAAGCCACACAATTGAATGCCTTTGCATAGCCAATAAAATACAAGTAAACATCTGTCTGGCATTCTATGCTTTCAGCCATGATCCATCTGACATCAGCAATGATATCCCTTGTTCCCTGTCCTCTTCTGAATCCAGCTTGCATTTCTGGAAGTTCCCTGTCAATATACTGCAGCAACCGTTTTTGAATTATCTTCAGCAAGATTTTACTTGCATGTGATATTAATGATATTGTTGATAATTTCCACATTCTGTGGGATCACCTTTCTTTGGAATGGATGTAAGTATGAATCTCTTCCAGTCAGTTGGCCAGGCAGCTGTCTTCCAAATTTCTTGGAAAAGACAAATAAGTGTCTCCAGTGCAGCATCTGTTTCTTGAAATATCTCAGTGGGTATTCTGTCAATTCCTGGAGCCATATTTTTCACCAATTCCTTCAGTGCAGCTTTGACTTCTTCCTTCAATACCATTGGTTATTCATCTTGCCACCTCCTGAAATAGAGGAACATTAACCAGTTCTTTTTGGTATAGTGACATTGTGTATTCCTTCCATCTTCTTTTGATGTTTCCTGAATCATTCATTATTTTGCCCATAGAATCTTTCAATATGGTAACTTGAAGCTTGATTTTTTTCTTTAGTTCTTTCAGCTTGAGAAATGCCGATCATGATCTTCCCTTTTGGTTCTTTAACTCCAGGTCTTTGCACATTTCATTATAATTGACTTTGTCTTCTGGAGCTGCTCTTTGAAATCTTTGGTTCAGCTCTTTTATCTTATCATTTCTTCCACTTGCTTTAGCTACTCTCCATTCAAGGGCAAGTTTCTGAGTTTCCATTTTGGTCTTTTCTTCCTTCCCTGTCTTTTTAATGACCTCTTGTTCTCTTCATGGATGATGTTCTTGATGTTATCCCACAATTCCTCTGGTTTTCGGTCATTGGTGTTCAATGCATCAAATCTGCTCTTCACATGGTCTCTAAATCCAGGTGGCATATAATCAAGGTCATATTTTGGCTCTTGTGGAATTGTTTCAATTGTCTTCAGCTTCAACTTGAACCTACATATGAGCAGTTGATGGTCTATTCTACAGTCAGCTCCTGGCCTTGTTTTGGCTGAAGATATTGAGCTTCTTCATTACCTCTTGCCACAGATGTACTTGATCTGATTCCTGTGTACCCCATCTGGAGAAGTCCACCTGTATAGCTGCCATTTATGTTGCTGAAAAAAGGTATCTACACCTCATAAGTCACTGGTCTTGCAAAACTGTATCCTGCGATCTCTGGTGTCATTTATGTTACCAAAGCCATATTATTATTATTATTATTATTTTACTTTTATCATCTTGAAAACATACACAACAAGACATTAGCCAGCATAACATCTTCCCTATTTATAGCTCAGGGATATTGATGACATTTTTCATATTGTGCTACCATTATTGCTGTCCTTTTCCAAAATATTCTACCACCATCAGTATAAACTCAATGCCCTGCAAACAAAAGCTTCCCCTTTCTCCTTCCCTCCTACCCCTGGTAACCATTAATAATCTTTGGTGTGTGTGTGTGTGTGTGTATACACACACACACACATATGTATATATTTGTATATCTGTCCAACTCTTAGTCTGGAAGCTTCACTGAAACCTGGTCACCGTGGGTGACCCTGCTGGCATTTGAAATACTGGTGGCATAGCCTCCAGCCTGACAGCAACATGCAAGCCACCACAGTACGACAAACTGACAGACGACTGTTGGGGGCATTCTCATACCACATGTTGTTGTTGTTAAGTGCTGTCGAGTTGGACTGGACTCATAGTGACCCCCCCTTGGGTTTCTGTGGCAGAGGCAGTAACACTATGGAAATAGATTGTTCAACCTTCCTTCTGAGGAGTGGCTGGCAGCTTTGAACCACCAGCCTTCTGGTTAGCAGTGAAGTGCCTTAGGCACTACGCCACCAGAGCTCCTCTTATGGCACACACAAATACATATATAGAAATATCATCTGCCAAACTTTTGTATAGTCATGGGTATATTCCCCTTTGCCTAGACATACCTGATCATTCAGCCTGTCTACCTACATATCTACCTGTACATTAATGTTTGCTATCACTGATAATGCACTATTGTGTATGTAAAAGTGTTTATCTTTGTTGTCTGTACCTCTTGCACACCTGTTTGTCTTCCTTTTCCTTACTGTTACTGTTTTTGTCACCCAGAGGTGACTTTCAAGCAGTTACAAGGACTCTAGGTCAATTGACAGGCAACACTGAAGAAAGAACTGTGTGCCAACTGCCCACGGTTGGGGGAGAACTCAAGGTGAACGCAGGAGCGAGGAGATGGAAATGATATGAAACTCTGTGTGAGATACTCTACCAAGAACTCCCACCGCCGAGCAGTAACTCAGGATATAAAAACCATCACAAAGAAATGCTGCTGAACTCACAGAGGGCACATGGGTTTCCTATTGTTGTTGTTGTTGTTTGCCGTCGAGTCAGCCCCGACTCATAGTGACCCCTCCTTGGGTTTCCGAGGCAGTATCACTACGGAAGTAGGATTGCCCAACCGTCCTTCTGAGAAGTGGCTGGTGGGTTTGAACTGCCAGCCTTCTGGTGAGCAGTCAAGTGCCGTAGGCACTATGCTACCAGAGCTCCCGGGTTTCTTATTAAGCCACTTTAAAATGATATGAATACACCAGAAAGTAACACATTAGAGATGCAAAAGGAAACAAACGTTTATTTTCTGCAATAAATTCTGTAAATTACAAAGACAAAATGCTAGACTACAGCATATAACTTTTCAATATTTAACCAGAGTACTTGTAATAAATACGCATCCCAAATCAAGGTAAAAGGCTACACTTTGTCAGGCATCTTACAAAACGTCTCAAGTTTTATACTCTGCAGCATTTCTTAGGAGGGGCAGAGAGGGTTTTGTTTTATGTTTTCTTAATGTGGTGACAAAACATTTCCCAATTCTTAGGAGCATTTTGGAAATTGCTTAACTATAATTAAACAATTTAAGAAAAGGAACACCAAGCTCTAAAGCTGTCTTGCTCTGCTGTTGTTGGTCCTCATCCACACAGCCCAGCACCCTCTGAGCCCAAATGGCCCCTGAGGGACAGGCCCTGTCAGAGCAGGCTTACACTTTTCATTACAGACTTTGAAGAGTTCTGTATTCAGTTTATGTCCCTCAATAGGATCAAAGCCATCAGGAAAGCTGCAAGCAAGTTAGAAACTCTTTTAACCTGAAAATAACATAGATGAATTTTTCTTCAAGACCTCTGCTGTGCACCATAATAATATCAATCAGGATGTTCAGTTTCTAAGTTGAAAAAAGTGGTACTAACAGTCCTTCCCGAGATAATTTATGGGCACTGGTAGAGCTGGGGCCTTCAAAACCACTCAATGGGAAGGTGAAGATTCACAGCAGTCAGATAGGCGCTGCAGTTCTGAAGACACTATGGCAGGAATTCCTAGGGGTGCTGGAGGCAGCTGGTACTGAGTCTGGAATACATAAACTACCTTTCGCTCTAGCTGAAAATTTTGAGGAAAAAGTTACATTATTTAAAAGTCTTAAGTATGGTTACCTAAAAAATATCTTTGTTAATAGAGTCTAGTGTAAATTTCACTTACTTAGGGGTTTAGATATGAAAAAAAAAAAAAAAATCATAAAAGAGTCAATAAAAATATTATAGAGAAAAAACACTTTTAAAATGTGAGGTTAAAAACTCTGAGGCATTTCTTTTGGCTGTAAACACACGGTTTACTGTAATCCCTTGTTGAAACGCAAGTGTTTGGATTTCCTGAGCTTCACGGATAACAGCAGGAGGGAAGTTTGCATAGAAAAATTTGCAATACATCAATGATTGACTTAAAAAGAAAAGTTTCAAGGACAATTTGCTTTTGTTTTAAAACTTCATATTTGAGTTAATAGTGTTCACTCAACTGGGAGCTGGACAAGCAGGGTGATGAGATATATAAGGCAGAGGAGAGAGAAAGAATTAGTGTTTCAAATCCAAGGATATCATGATAAAAGGTATCAAGCATGCACCTTATAACTAGTGCCGTACTAATTTGGATAGAGGTTAATTCATATTTTGGGATTGGAAGCCAAAGATAAAAAAGCCCGGCTGTGCTGAAGGGCACAGCCCCGAGTTTACGGCTTGAATAATAGCATTTGCTGCATGGAAACCTAACACGTCACTGTGAGTGAAGCCACTCAGGTGCTGAGGAGGGTGGCCACCCACGAGCATCAGCATCTGGACCTCAGAGTGTGGCTGATCCCAGCTCTGGATTCTTTCTCAAGGGCCTGTCACCTCTGCTGGTTTTGAAGTCTCCGGGCAGGTCTAAGAAGGGCAGTCTTCTCAGGGGATCAGTTGTTAGAAGCCTTTGGAACGGGAAGAAACTATGCTAGATCACAGTGCATACCACGGATGAGAACAATGGCAGTGGTTGCCAACAACTCCGGATCCAACACAAAGATGGACAACAAGGGGGCAAGGTCCTTTCTAGGAATCCACTTTACTTCTTCTGTGACTGGTTTTTACACATGGTAAGAATCTGCTTCAGTACTTTCTGAACATCTTCATCCATTTGGCCCTAGAAAATTCAAACAAAGGCACTTGTTAGAACCCAAGCCCTGGCATAGTCTCCCCTAGGGAATAAGACAGCTGGATGGGAGGAAGCGGTTGGCTCCTCCCCTGCTCTTTTAGATGAATTTGTTGTCATCAGGGATTGCTGTGACAAGTGACAGAGCAGAACTGCTGCATAGCGTTTTCTTGGCTGCGGTCTTTATGGAAGCAGATCGTAAGGTCTTTCTCCCACGGAGCTGCCGGGTGAGGATGAGTCACCAACCTTTTGGTTAGCAGCCAAGTGCTTCACCAGTTCTCCATTCTAAAGGATTTTTTAGATCAGTGTTAGCCCCATCGATTCCCACATTGCTGTGAGGATCAGAATTCAAGACAGACTCCCCCTGTTTTCCCTCTGGAGGCCGATGAGGCTGGGACTACTGAAGCACCCAGCACAAGTCTCTGGGTTCTTGGTTGCAAGCGTGAGCCCAGCTGGCTAGAACGCTAATGGTCACAGGGGCGAGGCAGTGCGGATGGCTCCCAGGGTTACCAGCATGCCTGGAAAACAAAGCCTGTGCTCCCGATGGGGGGCACGGCAGCCACATCTTCTTCATTTTCTCAACAACTCATGAGGCTGCTCCTGGTAAACAGGGCATGAGGCTCCTGACATAAAATCCAAAGCAAAGCAAAAGGGATTTAAAAAAAAAAAAAACCACTTTCCAATGAAAACGATTCTCCTCTTTCTTCTAGTTTAATGATGGGTGTTTTGATGATGTCTAATACTGGGCTTCTTTAGGATAACCACATACTTCACAGGGGGGCCCATACCTGCACAGCATAAAGAAGATGCATTCTGTAAACTGATATCACCTCCTGGTGTTGTTTCTTGCATTCCTAGGAAAAGGCAGTTTGACATTATTAAAGAGCTCAGGACAAACAAACACTTCTTCAGAAAACTATGAGAAAGCTGTGGTCAAATATTGCCCAAATGATTCCCCGTGTCAAAATGCATTTTATATCACTGTGACATTGCTGCGTTATGTTTTTCTGAGCATGTTAATATTTGTAGGGGAAAAAAAGCCTGTTTTACATCTTAGAATGTCAACTGTGTAAGAAAATTCATGTAAAAAGTAGTTATTATAATCCCAAATTTGTTTTTAAAAAATTACATGCAGGTAGTCCTGGACTTACAGCGTATTTGAATTATAATGAACCATACTTACGACCATCTATTTTTTCTGAACATTTTATCATCAGTAATATGTACTCCATACAGTGTTGCAGTGCATAATTTGCTGACGTTATCATTCTCAGATATTCACTTGCACATGTTCAGTGCTCTGATTTCCTGATCAAAACACTGCCGTGTAGCAGGCTATGGCCTGGTCTATAATGAAGGCTATGTCAATGTGTCAATGTTGGTGAAGGGAGTCATAACACACAGAAAGTTGGGCAATGTTCAACTCTAACAACACATGATAAGTGAACTGCACACGTGCCCAACAGCTGTTAGGATTTAAACTTCATTGTTATGACATAGACACTGACAAAGATCAGTAAAATTTATAATAATATTAATAATAAGAGGAAATAATAAAAGCTAAAAAAAAAGTATTCGAATTACATCAGAATTGACTTATGATGGACTTATCAGAATAGAACACCATTGTAGGTCAGGGGCTACCTGTAACGTGTATGCAAATATACAGATACACTCATACAGACTAAATACTGTAAGGAAATCTGTCAAATGCAAAAGTGATGATCCCTCTGTAGTGGAATTTTAGGCCATTTTTATTTTGTTTTTCAGCTTTTTTGCAATGACTATATCTCTATATAGATATGTATTTATTACAAACAAACACAGCAAAACCTATGTCAATTCAACAATTTCTATGTGTAGATATAGTGAAACTGATTACACTCAAATTGCACAGCTGTTCTCAACTTCCTTTTCCAATTTGTTCCTTCCCTAGGCTCATTTGCCCCTAAGCTTATCTAACCATTTAAGTTGTTAACAATTCAATCCTCTACAGTAAGTTTTTTAATGAGCACGGTTCTCATGATGGGTATTTTTTACTAGTTACAGTAGGCTGTTGTTTGGTTTAAAGGCTTCAGGGGATATTTTTAGCTTATGGTTTCTGAGTTAAAGATGATTTCAGGATAATTTCAGGAGTTCATTCATCCTCAGTGACTGCAGAAAGTCTGGATTCCATGAACACTGAAATTCTTTCCTACATTTTCCTCCCTTTTGGTCAAGATTCTTTAATCAAAACATTGAGTAATGATAGCTGGGTACCATCCATTTCCTCTGGTCTCAGGGCAAAGGAGGCAGTTGTTCATGGAGACAATTATTCAAGCTTTCCATTACTTCCTCCTACTCTTGACTCTTCTTCCTTCAGTGTTCCAGGTGAATAGAGACGGGTTCTATTCTGGATGGCCAACTGCAAACTTTTAAGACCTCAGGCCCGATATGGCAAACTAGGAGATAGCATATATTCCGTAATATATACATATATATAAAATCTATTCTTCTAAAGGGAGTTACTAATCATCCACTATACAGTTGTTGGTGTTAGGTGCTGTCAAGTTGGTTTTGATTCATAGCGACCCCACTTGACACAGCAGAACTGTCCCAAATGGTTTTTTTAGGCTGTAATCTTTATGGGACCAGACTGCCAGGCCTTTCTGTCGGGCTGCTGGGTTGGTTCAAAGTGCCACCCTTTCGGTTAGCAGTTGAGTGCTTAACTGTTGCGCCACCAGGCTCCTTTGTATTGTATGATCTTTAAGAGTTCAGTAACTTAGCTACCAGTGGACCAAGGACGAGACCAGGGCGGTGGCTGCAATCCCAACTGGGCCCTCAGTCCTTTATTTTACCTTGCTGAGCCATTTCTCCAGTTACTCTCAGTGACTACTTTAAGGATCTTTGCTCTGAACAGTATTTATTTTATCAAGAGAAGAATGGCCTCCAGAACAGAGTAAGGAGCATTTTCTCCCCCTACCCTCATGATTATGACCAGCTCAAGCTGCTATAACCAAAGAAACTAGCATTGAACTTTGTGGCCCAAAACTACAGAAACCTGAATTCACTGGTGCCAATCAATTCCCTACTGACTCACCACCGAGTTGATTCAGACTCAGAGCAACCCTTTCCGACAGAGTAGAGCTGCCCCATAGGGCTTCTAAGGCTATAAATCTTTATAGAAGCAGACTGCCTCATCTTTCTCCCAAGGAGCAGCTGATAGGTTCAAATTGCTGACCTTCTGTGGTTAGCCAAATGCTTTAACCACTATCCACCAGAGCTCCTTAGTCTGTACTGAAAAAAATCATACAATCCAGTTCCTGTTTGTAAATGGAAGCTAGAGACACTCTAGAAATGGCCCCTTAGCAAACTAAAACCTTAACATACTGTGGTAGGTTAAATAATGCCTAAACCCTGGAACCTATGATGTTTCCTTATATGGGAAAGAGAACTTTGCAGATTGGATAAAGTTAAGATTTTTAGAGAATATCCTGGATTAGCCAAGTGTAATCTCTAAATCACAGGGTCTTTAAAGGAGGGAGGCAGGAAGGTCAAAGGGGAAGGGGAAGCTGAGATGATAAAAGTGGAGTTTAGAACAGAGAGAGGGCCATGAACCAAGGCAGCCTCCAGAAGCCACCAAAGGCAAGGACCCAGATTCTTCTTTCGAACCATCAGAATGAACTCCTGCAGACACCTTAATTTTAGCCCAGTGAGGCCCATTTTGGACTCTAACCTCCAGGAGTGTAAGATAATAAATTCGTATTGTTTTAAATCACCGAGTTTGTGGTGATTTGTTATAGCAGCCATAGGAAACTAATACAGATACAAAAAGGTTTTCTTGGGTTATATAATCAAGAATTAGCTTCAGATACACAAGTACTAGAAATCCTAGCCTCTAAAAAGAAAAAGCTATTGCCACTGCTAGAAATGAGACCACGGTTGCAGAAACAAAGAGGTGAAAAGTGAGTGGATGAATGTGAGTAAGCAGCCTGCTCCCAGTGTCCACCAGGTCCTTCCACTGTGCATCTCCATCTTTCTCACTGAAGACACCCACTGGGAATTCCACCATTGGTTCCTTCCTCTGCTCTTGCCAAAGAAAACCTGTCAGCTGCCTACTGAAGAAGACTGCTGGCTGGGAAGCCTGTCCTCTCCGGCCTGCCCCGCCAGCTGCACTGGTGCGTAATCAGCAGGCCCCCTCCCCTACACCAGGCAATAGAAACGAGCCCCACTCACGGCCAGCTGGTTCTGGAGCTGCTTGACCTGCTGCTGCAGGGATTCCAGCTGCTGACTTTGCCTCTTGGAGGAGCTCGTGGAGTAGGAGAGCTGCGAGAGGCTGTTCAGGGCCTCCTTCAATTTGCTGACTTCCTTTGCCATCTCATTTATCTACCGAGAAAGGACAGCTATGTCAACAGGCAAGACCGTGTCTACAAAAGCAGTTTCCCAAATTCTGAAGCCTCAGAGTCATCTCTTTTGGAGTCTGGTGCTCAAGGCTTAAAAATAAATCTTTTTTTTTTTTTTTTAAAGGAATTCACAAAATGCAACAGTAACAAAATCAAGCAAACCAATAAAACCCTCCAAATGCTTTCCATTTTGTTCACATAAAGGCCGTAAATTACATATTTACTTCCAACTTGAGAGAGAAACAAAAGCTGTAATGCTGATTTTCTGTTGTTGCATAAAAGGGCAATCAGAAACCAGATTTCAGGGGTTCTTTATTTGGGGGATGACAGCTATGTCTTGCCCAATGTTGCTGACACAAATAGCAAGTTCTTTCTAGGAACACTGGTATCTCTGGGCATCTTGCTTTAAAGTGAGCACAAGCCTCCTCCCTTAGGCTGTTGAAGCTCTTTCAAAACTCTCATTACAAAGGGACAAAAGATAAACAGCACTCTAATCTGGGTGGTGCAGAAGGTTAAGCCCTTGACAACTAGCTGAAATGTTGGTTCAAATCCATGCAGAGGCACTTTGGAAGGACGGGGATCTGCTTCCAAAAGGTCACAGCCTTACAAACTCTATGAAACACAGTTGTACACTGTACACGTGGCGCTGCCTTGCCATGAGTCAGAATCCACGCGATGGCAACAAGAAGTGCTCCAGCGAGTGCCATTCAGAGCGTCTGACACGGGGCTAAGGATGGGGAGCAGATTCCTGCACGTCCCCACTCAGTGCCATCTCTAACTGCCTGCCACCCACCTTCTTCTCCTGCCTCCCATTGCCTTTGAAAATGAGGACCAGGGAGGACGGGTATTATGCTGACCTAGGGGAACAAAGTTCATCAACTTAGAGAAGCAGGATTAAGTCATAAAAGTAGTTCAGCTTCAACAGGGCAGAATTTTGGATTAAAAAAAAAGAAAAAAGACCTGAAGTTGTAGATGGTCACAAACACTTTTCAGTTTGTGCTTCACTTCTGATCCCTCATACGGACAGAGCTCCTGTAATATTTAAGTTTAAGGGCAAATATGCCTTAAGGGAAGTGGTAGAAGCTCTCAGAGTACATACTATTCTCACTCTCATGTTCAGAGCCTGTGAGCATTCACAACAGGTTCGTGCTAAGAACTGCGTTGTTGGGTGCTATCAAGTCAATGCTGACTCACAGCGGCCCTATATGACAAAGCAGGTTTTCTTGGCCGCAATCTTTACAGGAGATCATCAGGTTTCTTTCTCACAGAGCTGGTGTGTGGGTTCAAACCACCATTTGGTCAGCAGAAAAGGGCTTAACCATAGTTTCATCAGGGCTCCCCATATGGCCAATGCTAAATACAGTAAAGGTTGAAAGGCTTGTTATGGTTGGTGTGTGCTGTGGAGTCAAACCCAACTCACAGTGACCCTATAACACAGAGTAGAACTGCCCAGTGTAGTGCCTAAGGCATTTGATTGCTAACCAGAAGGCTGATGGTTCAAACCCACCAGCCACTAGGAGAAAGGAAGACAGGGCAATCTACTGTAGAAATACCACCTCAGAAACCCAAGGAGGGGTCACTATGAGTCGGGACCGACTTGACAGCTGAGTTTGTTTTTTTTTTTTGGATGCTGAAAACTTGATTTTAGCCAATCACCAGGTCTCTTCTCCCATGGAACAGCTGGTGGGTTTGAATATCCAACTTTTTGGTTAGCAGCCAAGTGCTTAACCATCACGCTGCCAGGGCTTCCAGTGAGAAATGTAACAGAAACAGACTTTCCCTAACCTTCTTGTCTTTATCCTCCTCCAGTTTCGAAGAGCTCTCAGATGATCTCTTCATCTCTGCAAGTTCTTCCTGAGACTGCTGGAATTTGTGCAGAAGTCCATTCACTTCTTGCTCTTTGGATTTCAAGAGCGTCTGAATATTTTCCTTTTCCCTTTTTATTTGCGAGACTTCACTTCTAATCTGGGCAACCTCTGAATGAACCTTCTCTTTCTCTTTGACCGAATCCTTTAGTTTCGATGCCAACACGCTCACTTCACTCTCTAGAGATGACCGGAGCTTTTCATAGGACGACTTGGGGACCATCGCATCAGTCATTGCCGCTTTCTCTTCTAAGAGCTGTTTCTCCAGCTTGGCCACTTCCACCTCTTTGTTTGCAAGGTGCTCCTTAAGACTGCTGACTTTTTCCTCCATCTCTTTCGCAGTAGTCCGCAGCGTGGTTATCACTTGCAGATGTTCTGTGATGGAAACCGAGTTCTCTTTTTGGGCATCCACTAGCTGTTTGAGCTGGGTCAACTCATTTAATACTCTTGAATACTGAGACTTCATTTCGGACAGCGCCTCTTCTGCTTTAGCCCTGGATAAGGTGGTCACTTGCAGCAGCTTCTCGTGCTCTGCTTTATGGATATAGTCGGCCGTGATGTCTTCTAGAGATTTCCTCTTCCTATAGTCCTCCAGCTCGGCCTGGGCTTCTTTGTACAACTGTGACAGCTCACTCACCTGTTTATTGAGTTCATCAATCATCCTGTTCATGGCTTCTTTCATGTCCCCAGCTTCCTCACTGGCTTCCTGTGCCATCTGACTTTTCAATGTGTCTTTTAATTTCATGATCTCTTCTTGGGCCTCTTGGTATTTTCCAAACAAAAATGATTTCTCTTTATTCATATTCTCAATTACAGAACAATACGAACTTTTCATCTCCTCATACTCTTCTGCAGGTGGCTTGATCAACACAACTTTCTCCCTCTCTTCCAGTTTCCCCTCTAATTCCCTCACTTTTTCTTTATATCTTGCACTTTCTTCCAATGCTTTCTGGAGATCCTGCTTTAGCACGTCCATTTCCTCCTCGGTGATCCTCAGTTCATGGAGATGGGAATAACTATCCATGCCCTCTGGTGAGACAAGGCCCAGTGTCATCTGCTTCTGCACACTAAGGACCTCTTTCATGGCCTCCTCATACTTGCTCTGTGTTTCTTTAAGTTTCTGGCTGAGGTCGGAGCTGTTCTCAGAAATCTCTGCATTGTTGAAGCCCACCAGCTCTGTTCCTCTGGACTGGAGTTCGATCTGTAGTTGTTTTTTCTCTGCTTCACAGATCTCCAGTCTCTTCTCCAAGTCCTGCAAAATCTCTTGTAGTTGCTGAATTCTTCCATCACTGTTGGTAGTGGATTTACTCAAGGATTGTATTAAAATAGATGGGGATGATTTGCAGTCTGGAGGAGAGGTTTCACTCAGTTTGCCTGGGGATAGGGCCGCCAAGTCAGTTTGGGTGGAATGGTAAGAGTCAAGACTCAGGTCGGTGTCTGCCTCCTTGGGTGTTTTGGCCTAAGGGAAAAAAAAAAAAAACACACACACACAAATTAAATGGCACCAATACTACGGTTAGGTGAGTAAGCAACTGGAATAGGAAGAACAAATCCAACACAGAGGTATAGATGAGGAACATTTTACGTGAGTACTTCTTGCCCTAAGAAAAAATAATGGTCTGGGACATGAGAGTGAGATTAGTGACACAAAGCTGATCAGGCATTTCTATTTGGACAGATTACCTGTGTCACTTCGAAAGCACTGGAATTAGTTTTGGCTCTAGTCTATGACTCAGGGAAAATCTTTTGAGACTTTTTTCTTTGTTTCTCCTATCATTCTAGTTCTCAAGGGGTCAGTGGGCTTAGTACAGCTGTTACCAAGCTCTGAAGTCTTCAAATGATCAGCTTTACTAAATGAATGGCTAATATTTTATATATAACATCATTTATCAAAGTCTAGAAATAGACTTAATGAATAATACTCTCAAGAAACAGATGATTTGAAATGCTAAGATGCTTAGAGCTAATTACATTTAAAAAAAAAAAGGAAGAAGAAGAAGAAGAAGAAGAAACTATTATAGATGTATCTCCATCACCTCCACTAGCTGCTGTCAAGTCAACACTGACTCAGGGCAACTCCATGTGTGTCAGCATAGAATTATGCTCCATAAGGCAGGTTGTTTTTAAGTTGTGATTTCAGTGGAAGTTTACAGAGCAAATTCATTTCCCATACAACTGTTCACACACATTTTATTTCATGACATTGACTGCAATTCCCATAATGTAACTGCTCTCTTCTCACTTCCTGCCTGTGGTTACCTTTTCCCTGTGTCCTTCTTTCCCATGCATTACTGCCCTCTGAGCTCTCTCCCTGTGCAAATAAGGCCCTGCTGGTCTCCCATGGTTGATTGTTCTAAGGAGTGTACCTACCTGGTGTAAATGTTCACGTTATACACCTGTCTATTGTTTGGCTGGGAGCTCTGGTGGCATAGTGCCTAAGGTATTTGACTGCTAAACAGAAGGCTGGTGGTTCAAACCCACCAGCCACTCCACAGAAGGAAGGTTGGACAATCTATTTCCATAGAGATACTGCCTCGAAAACTCGAGGAGAGGTCGTTATGAGTCGGGATCAACTCGACGGCAGTGAGTTTGGTTTTAGTACTGTTTCTCTGGAAGCCATGGGAGTGATAGACTTGTGCTCCATAAGGTTTTTAAAGGTTGTTTTTTATAAGCAGATCTCCAGGTCTTTCTTCTGAAGCACCTTTGAGTGGACTTGAACCTCCAATCTTTTGGTTACCATCTGAGGATGTTAATGATTTGAAACTAATGTAATTGTTTAAAAATATATATATATGCCCTTGAAATGACCTTCTATTCTATGGTAGCAATCTATTTACCTACCTGCAACTTATCTTGTAGCTCCTTATTGTGTAATGTAAGGGAAGCAACTTTTGCTTGTAATAGGACAAGAAGATCTTGTTGGTCGGCTTCAGAACTTATATCCAATAAGCTATCAGCACCTTGGAATAGAGAAAGGCAATTTAAAACAATATCAAAAAATTAAATTGTTCCATTGCTAATGCTTAACAAACTTACCTTCTGCCCCAACCTAGTTCTTCCTAGTCCTAGCCATGACGCACCCACTGCAGCACTTTCAGAGGCTTCCTCACCACGGGGTTCCTAGCACAATACTAGATACATGGATGCATATAAGCTGATTCTAAAATCGGATGGATTTGGCCACACGTCTTCTGTTCACCTGATCAAGTGCTGAAACTGGGACTGGGACTGTGCTTCGGCCCACCTCCAGTAAGCCCCATCTTGTCGATCATTTTTTGAAATTGCTCTGGACTCTACTTCATTTCTCATCCTCAGCATCATTGCTTGAGTTCAGACTTTTATCACTTTACCTGGAAATGTGACAAATGGCTTCTCACAAGTCTCTGCCTCTCTCATCTCCCCAGTAAAATGCAGTCTACAAAGCAAGGTCAGCTCAGTCTTCCCAAACCATACTTTGATTGGGTCAGTCTTTTGGTTCAAGTGCTTTAATTGTTCTTCTTCCAAAACTAATCTCCAAATTCTTTTATCTGGATTAAGGCTTCTATGACCTGGCCCCAATGCACCTTTACAGACTTATGACTCACTGAATCTCTCTATGATTTCCATGTGTCTCAAATTCAAGGTACTCTTCATACCTTCTGTGTTCTCAATACAAGGCTGACTCTTACATGCTTCAAATGTCCTTCCAGCATCTCTGTGCTTAGATTAAAAACTCTTACTCAGCTGTTATGGGTTGAATTATGTCCTCCAGAATATGTGGTAGAATCCTAACCCTCATACCTAAGGATCTAATCCCATATGGGAATAGAGCTTGCTCTGGTATGTTCGTGAGATGGTATAATGCAGGCTGTGTCCTAAACCGAATCACTTCTGAGTTATAAAAAGACCAAATGAGACCCAGAAAGAAGCACGAACTGGGGAAGGCAAGTGCACCCTGAAGGCTACCAAGGAATTGAGGAAGCTCAAAGAAGGGGACAAAGATCTTCCCCCAGAGACTTCCCTTATAGCTGGTGCCCTGAATTCAGACTTCTAGACTCCTAAAATGCTAAGAAAAGAAATTTCTGTTCATTAAAGCCACATACTTGTTGCAGTAGCACTAGCTAAGCAAGACATCATCATTAAGAACCCATATCAAACTCTGCCTTCTCTCTAAAGCATCCTCCCATCCTGAAATGGTCTTCTTGTCTCTAAATCCCACAGTAATGACTAAGCCACAACTTCCTCACATTCTGATTATCATGCTGAAATAGTATCAAGAGCACTGCTACTCCTACTGTTCAAAGGAACTTGCTCCAGAATACAATGCACAGCTTCCTTCATCTAGAAAGTCTTCCTACATGGGGGAAAAATGTCACCTGAACAAGACAGTGCTTAGTGACGTAGCTAAGAGATTTTCTGGTGCAGACACCTGATTCATTGCAGGTGAGTAGCAGTTCATGAACCACACTCTAAATGGCACAAATCTAAATTTTTTATTGCTCTGTTTCTTATTTTTCACACCTATTTAATACAAAGATGAACATTTCATCTTAATTTGGAAGCATGTAAAATGTCATTTCTTCATAGAAAAGCTTGCTCTGATGTCTCATGGCTAATACACAGTGTTCTGAGTTCCCTTGACAGGAAGTGTGGTGAGACTGGAATGAACCTGGAGATTGGGCACATGACTGCAATTTTATTTTATTTTATGTTTTTATTGTGATTTCGGTGAATATTTACAGAGCAAATTCACTTTCCATACAGCAGTTCACATACACTTTGTCTCATGACATTGACCACAGTTTACCACAATGCAATAGCTCCCCTCCCACTTCCTCCCCATAGTTACCTCTTTCCAGTGTCCATCCCTCCATACACTCCTGTCCCCCCGAGCAGTCCCGCTTGCACAAGCAGCCCTTCTTTCTCCCATGATTGTTCTCTCCAAGGAGTGTATCTACCTCAGGTAAATGTTCAACTCATGCCTGTATTTTGTTTGGCTGGAAACCACAGGTGTGGGTTCAATTCCAGACATGAAGGGCAGCTAGGGGCCATAGTCTCAGTGGTTCCGCCAGGCTCTATCGGACCAGTAAACCTGGTCCCCCACCCCCCTTTTTTTTTCTCCAAATGATTTTGAGTTTTGTTCCACATTGTTCTTTCTCTCTATCAAGAATCTCCTACACAGACCCCCTTCCAAGTGGATGACAGTGGTAGCTGGGCACCATCTAGTTCTTCTGGTCTCATAGTCATATAGGCTGCAGATAAGATGGTGTACCAGTCGCTAGGACTAATTGTTTCCATGAATTTTGGTTTTCTTCATTCTTCTTTGCTCTGGACAAGGAGAGACCCATCATTGCATCTAGATGGCAGCTTGCTAGCTTTTAAGATTCCAGTCGCTAATCGCCAAAGTAGGAGGTGGAACAATGCTTTGTATAGTATTTTATGCCAATTGAGCTTGATGTCCCCTGCGACTATGGTCCCAAGCCCATGGGTTCAACTATTCAGTCCCTCTGGGTAGCTGGCTCTGACCAAGCAGTGACCACAACTTTGCCCCTTTACATGACTGCAATTTTAAACAGTAAAAATTACTTCAAAGATATAATGAATTGCTTTGAAAGTATCCAGTGAAGCAGTTATTAAGTTATATTAAAACTGATCTCTGCGAGGAATTACAATGTTTAATATTTTTAAATTCTGTGAATCCAAAGGTCTAAACTCATATAAAATACATAAAAGACTAAGAAACTGAATGCAGAAGTAAAATGGGGCCTTAGAAAACATACAGTCTGGGATTTCCCAAATGCTGGCCCACAGACTTCTGTATTTAAATTAATTCTGAAGGCACTGGACTACATTTTGAGACTTTTGAAGGATGTTGTTGTTGGGTGCTGTCAAGTCAGGTCCGACTCACAGTGACCCTGTGTACAACAGAACAAAACACTGCCTGGCCCTGCGCCAGCCTCACAATCCTTGCTCTGCCTGAGCCCACTGTTGCAGCCACTGTGTCAGTCCATCTCTTTGATGGTCTTCCCTTTTTTCACTGACTGTCCATTTTACCAAGCACGATATCCTTACCCAGGGACCGATCCCTTCTGACAACATGACCAAATTACATGAGACGAAGCCTGGCCATTCTCACTTCTAAGGAGGATTTTGGCTGCATCTCTTCCAATGCATATTTGTTTGTTCTTCTAGCAGTTCATGTCTTCAGTTTTCTTTGATAACATCACAATTCTAATACATCAATTCTTCTGCAGTCTTCCTTATTCATTGTCTAGCTTTCACGTGCATTCAACGCAATTGAAAATAACATGGCTTGGGTCAGGTTCACCTCAGTATTCATAGTGACATCTTTGCTCTTTAACATTTTAGTGTTTTATAGCAGATTTGCCCAGAGCAGGATGTTGTCTGATTTCCCTGACTGCTGCTTCCATGGGTGCTGATTGTGGATCCAAGTAAAATGAAATCCCTGACAACTTCAATCTTTTCTCCATTTACCATGTTGCTTATTGGTCCAGTTGTAAGGATTTTCAAAGGCTAGGATACATTAGACCTGTCTTGTGAAATCAATGAAATTGTGTATGATTTCACTGTCTTTGCACATATCTGTTTAAAATCCAAAGTAGAAAAGTTAGACTGTGGTGGCCTAGAAGGTGCTCAGCTCACCTTCTTTCCAAGAAATAACTTGCTCCTAGCTACAAGGAGTCAGTGAGCTGATGACCTGCAGCTGTTGTCTTCAAGATCCACTTCAGCTTGGGAGTCAAGGCCATGCTCTTCCCTGGCAACCCCAGCAGATAACTGAGAGAAGACTAGGGCCTGGCTCTTTCTGCCCAATGCACAATTCCTCCAGTGGTTGCTCCAGCCAGTCTTTGACAGATATGCTTTGTGGTCCAAACTCAAACTCCATATAACCGGCAACACTCCTCAATCTCTCTCAACCTCTGCCTCCCAGATGATCCAACTGGGATACCACCAGGAGTGGAATAAAAAGCAGGTGGGAAGATAGCATTTCAATCTCCACAAAGCAGGCAAGGAAGAAGGCCCCCAAACCTGTTGGTATATGGGCCCCAAGTAGTCCCTGGCTTAATGTGACAGCCTAATTGCTAAAGCTTTCACTTGTGTTTTTAGAAAATGGGCTGGCACAAGGGGCTGACTTGGCTGGTGGGATGATTTTTGCCATTGAAAAATGAGAGGAGGGTAATGCCTATAAGAGCAAGGAGACTGGCTGGTTGTTATGACATTGTATTAATTCCCTACAGAGGGCAGTTATACAACTGAAAACAAATCATGTGAACAAGAAGGCCACTTTGATAGCTTTTCAAGAGGCCCTTAACTGTTACAGTGGGAAAAAGCAGAAAAAGCTGAAGACTAAGTTAGGATTTCATAGAGTTACCTACTGAATGTTCCCTGGAGGCAGGTCTGGAGTGCAAAGGTCAGGGCCCTGCTTGAGAAAATCTGGGGCTCTGACACATGGGATGGGGATATCTGGAGAATGACCCCGAAGATTTTGGTTTTGCAGGTTCCTCTGAACCCCAATGCCTGCAGAGGTGCCACACTGTTCTCTGTGCAGGGCTCCCATCCCCCATGCAAGATGCACAGGCCTTTTCTCAGCAAGACAATAGGGGAATCTTTAGGATCTGCTCCCACCTTCTCCTGGCTGCCAGACCAATAACCAGGGTTAAGTGACATCCGGGGATGTGCTGAGCCTGACTGGAGCAGAAATGGACTATACTCCACAGGAGCTACAAGATTTACAGCAGGGACTGCAGGACTGGTTTGAGGGGATTCAATGGGGCTAAAGCCACAAGACCAAGAGAGTTATTAACTCGGGTCATTCTTCTTGGACGTGGAATTGAACAACTACTAGTAAGAACAAGTAAGGACCCTGAAGGGGCTGTGGTGGTCCAGTGGCTAAGGCATTCAGCTGCTAACCAAAAGGTCAGTGGTTTCAACCTACCAGCCACTCTATGGGAGAAAAATGAAGCAGTCTGCTTCTGTAAAGATTTATAGCCTTGGAAACCCTGTGGGGCAGTTCTACTCTGTCCTATAGGGTTGCTATGAGTTAGAATCGATTCAAAGGCAGTGGATTTGGTTTGGGTTTGGCAAGGACCCCAGGGGATGGTGCCAAATTGCTGCTATAGTGGTTCCTAGAAGCCTGGAGAAAGTGTGCTTGGCTTACACCAAGCAAAACTAAAATTCCTGAATTGCTAAGGCAGACAGTAGAGGAAGGGATCAAGAAATCTCAGGGAGTTCTTTATGTTGGAGTAGATAGTAGTTTATGTACAATAAATGGCACCCATTGAAAGTTTAGAATTCTAAGAGGTCTAACAGTTGTGCACTTCCAAGAAACCACCACCACAATTGGGACCCAGGTATTTCCAATACTCCTAAAGTTTCCTTGTGCCTCATCCCAGGCTGTCCCTGTCCACTGCACTCCTAGCTCTCCTTTTCTGCATTTTCTAGGATTCATGTAAGTACAGTGATGCCATACAGTCCAAACACTTCTGTATCTGGCTTCGGTCATGTAGCATGATTCTGAGATTCAATCACATTGCTGCATGTACAACAATCTATTCCTTTTCATTGCTGAGTGGTATTCCACAATATGGATAGTACTCCACTGCACCGCCAGACCTCCCTGCTGTATGGATAGATCTCATTTTGTTTATCCATTCACTTGGTGGTGGAAAATTGGATTGTTTCCATTCTATGGCTATTGTGAAGAAAGCTGCTAAAAACATTTGTGTATAAGATTTGGTGTATATGTATGTTTTCATTTCTAGTGAGTAAATACCTGAGTGGAACTGCTGAATCCCATGGTAAGTATCTGTATTACTCTTTAAGAAATTGCCAAACTGTTTTCCAAAGTGTTGTTGTTGTTGTTGTTGTTTGCCGTCAAGTCGGCCCCGACTCATAGCGACCCCTCCTTGGGTTTCCGAGGCAGTATCACTATGGAAGTAGGATTGCCCAACCTTCCTTCTGAGGAGTGGCTCGTGGGTTTGAACCACCAGCCTTCTGGTGAGCAGTCAAGTGCCTTAGCCACTATGCTACCCGAGCTCCTGTTTTCCAAAGTAACTGCACCATTTTACATTCCCATCAGTCCACATAATCATAATACTAGGTATTCTGTTTTTTAGCCAGTCTAAATGGGTGCCCCTTTCTATCTTGTTTTAGAAATGAAAGTCTTTCATGCTCAGTTTTTGAAAGTCTTGATTTGTGACAGGATTCTTTGGAATGCATTACTTCCTTTGTATCACAGCTGTAATAGAAGATTTTTGTCGTTCATTGCTGTTGAGTCGATTCTGACTCATGGAGACCCTGTGTGTGTAGAGTAGACCTGGGCTCCACAGGGTTTTAAGGCTGACTTTTGACTTTTTGGAAGCACCTTCCAAACGACCTCTGAGTGGATATGAGCTAGCAACATTTTGGCTGGTGGTTGAATGCTTAAGTCTTTGCACCACCCAGGGAGTCCATGGTAGAAGACATTAGGATGTTATCTGTAACAGCATAATATCCTTACCTTGTATAGATATCCATCTTAAAGAATTTACTAACAAAATAAAGCTGAAGGGAGGAAAATTGACAGCAGACCAACAGACACACAAGGTATTTTATGGATCTGATTTGCAGTTTGTATTGGAAGAGTAACGACCTACACTCAACCAACATTTCCATGACTGAATGTATTAACATATAAGCAGGGGTTCATAACCTTTGATACTATGTGAAGCCTACCAACACTCTTTCAAAATAATACCTTTAAATACAAAAGATAAAATATGTAGGCTATAGTCATAGTGTCACTGTGTGTTGGAATCAGCTTGATGGCACCAAATAACAACAACAATATCATCATTTAAGTCTGTATTTTGTAACACGTCAAATAACAAGATCTAGATGCAGATCTAATTACCATATTTTCAGTAGTGATTTTATAAATGATATTTCAAGATACCTGCAATAACTGCAAGATATGAAATTATCTGTGAATTCTCTTGGTGACAAAGTCACTGGACTGTTAATACCACTAGAGTTAGTTGTCTATACTAATAATTGAAGGAAATGCAAAAATTTCGTTGGTGACAAGTTGCTGTTGTATGAAATTAAGTTGATGCTGAGTCACAGTGACCCCATGTGATAGAACAGAACTGCTGCATAAGGTTTGCTAAGCTATAATGTACAGATCTCCACGTCTTTTCTCCCACAGAATTACTGTAGGTTTGAACTGCCGACCTTTTGGTTAGCAGTCGAGTGTTTAAGCATTACGCCATCAGAGCTGCTAAATGAAAATAGAGATGTATTTTTTCACATCCAGGTTCAGAGACATCTTCAATTCCAGGTTAAGGGTCCCTGAAGTATGGAGTGTGTCAGCCTGCCTGCTCTTGGCAACCCTGTGATGACACATTAGTCCTCTGAGCTCCCTACTTGCTTGGCTTTGGCTCTCGGTAAATGGACACTGATGAGAAGTTGGTCAAAGGAACATAGGCAGGTTCCCCTTCCTCTTACCTGTGGTACTGTCACTTAGTCTGTCTTTATTTTCCCGGATTGAACTGATCTCAGCCTGTTGAAACACAAACATGACTTAAAAGAATATTCCTCACTGTACTATGGACAGAAGACTCAAGTAGATTTTCCTCTGTGTGTTAACACAGAAAAGAGTTGGTGTTACCCTATCAAAAAAACAAAACAAAACAAAAAAAAAAAAACCTAGAAAATCTTAAGAATATGATATTTTAAACTACAAGTGAATAAAAGTGACAGTTATCTATTAAAGATAATTAAATTATAAAATATGAGAACCTCTAGAGAGTGTACTCTCCAAATATTTTTCAGAAATTTCATGAGTATGATAGAGATATATTTTAAGATTGCAATAATTTTACCTAATCACTATGGAGTCTGTTTATCTGAAACTCGAAATAGGAAAATATTCCTATTATGATGAAAACTAGGAGTTATAACCATTTAGTTTATACATTGGTTAAAATATATTAAAAGTGTATTTTTTAGCTTTATCATTTACCTGCTATTAACTGTTTATTAATCTTTCTAAGAGAAAAGATAATAAATAAGACTTGCTGATTAAGATAATTTTACAAAGGAATAAACATTTTTATGCTCCTGGACCAACAACTGATGCCCTAAAGATTTCTTCTAATCTTTTACCCCTGAATATCTGTTAATATATTGCAAAAGTTCTTGTACCTTCAAAGCCATTCTCTCATTTCAAAATGAAATGTGTAAATACCTATTTTTAAGAAGAAAGATAATATCCAGTGACTTGCCAGAAGTTAGTGTTTCATCTACATGAGCCACAGGCAATGATAAGAGAGATCATTTTTCAGTAAAAAGAACATTTTGTGAAGGTCTAAATACTAAACATAAAGTAGCTTATTTTTGGCAAGTCTTTATCTTTACAAAAAGCTCTTCTTTCACTTAAAAAAATATTTATTTTTATTTTCCAACTACATTAAGCACACTCAGTTTTATCCCTTCATTGTATTTACAATACAATGAAGGAGGTTTGACATATACAAGTGTGAAACCAACATCACAAAATATCTTGATTTACCATCTTACCATCACTTCTAAAAGGCATCATAGCCAATCACCATCCACCACCCTCCTGGGCAACCATTGCTCTCTCATGCCCATTTTCTAGAATTCCTATAAATGGAATGATTATCAGGACTCTTTTGTGTCTGCCTTCTTACACTTACCATGATGATTCACATTTGATGTTGCTTATACAGCAGTTTGTCCCTTTTTATTGCTGAGTAGTATTCCATTATCTGGATATACCTCATTTTGTTTATTCATTCACTTATTGATGGACATTTGTGTTGTTTTTGCTTTTGCAGTCTTCTGAATAAAGCTGCTATAAACAATGTGTGTAAGATTCTATGTAGGCATACATTTTCATTTCTTTCGAGTAAATACTTGTGTGTAGAATGACCAGATCATATATGGAAGGCAGATGTTTAACTTTTAAAGTAACTACCAAACCACTTTCCAAAGCTGCTGTACTAGTTTACTGTCCTACTAGCAGAGGGTGAGAGTTCTATTTCCTCTACATTCTTGCCAAACTTGGCACTTTTAGTCTTTCTAACTGTTGTTAGATGCTGTCATATCCAATGCATAGCAACCCCATGTGGAAGGGTGTAACTGCCCCATAAGAGTTTCTTAGCTGTGATTTTTATAGAAGCAGACTACCAGGTCTTCTCCTGCAGAGCTGCTGGGGGAGTTTGAAATGCCAACCTTTAGGTTAGCAGCCAAGTATTTAACCACTGTGCTACCAGGTAGCCCTCCTTTTCTAACTTTAGCCATTCTAAATAAGTGTCATTTATATCTTATTTTGTTTTAGAAAAGAAATTCTTCTATGGTCTACTTCTAAAAATCATAATTTGTGGTATTATTCTTTGGAATGCATTACTTAATTTGTGCCACAACTAGAGTAGAAGATACTAGGATATTAATAGAAACAACATAAATTCTTTGCCTTGCCTTACATACATACTCATCTTAAGAATTTAATAATAAAGTCTAGTTGAAGTGAAGGAAATGATAAGATGATAGATAATTGTTCAGATCAATATGCAGCCAAGTTAAAAGGAATTTATCTTTAGTAATTCTTAGACTTGATGGCAAATAACAACAACAACAACAACAAATTCTTAGATGGAGGAAAGTAATTATATATTTGGAACATTTCATTTTAACAACTACAACTTTTACTTTCTTTCCAAGTACACTTTCCTAGCAGTTGTTAGGTAAGCAGATGGTGAATTGAAATATACTCCCACTTCCTTAAAATACTTAGCAACTACCTTTAGAACCCTAATGAATCCTCAAAGGTAGAATGAAGATTTTCTGAAATTTTTGGAAATTTCTACAATAAATACCCATTACCTATAGTCAGAAAACAACTTTAATTAAAAATATACAATTACTTTTCAGTTATGATTTCAGAGAAAAAGAAAAAGCTACTTTTCTTTTGATTGGCATTATACCAACTCAATGTGGGTTAAACCTGTTATAAGGCAAGTTGTTATATTTGTTTTTTTTTTTTTTAAATGAAGAAAACTAATTATCATTAACAACATAACTTGCTCACCCTACTCTTTTCTTTATGGGGTCCATGCTAGGAAAAATATTCAAGGGGTCTTTCTTGGTGACAAGGTGGTAAAGCAGTGACCCAGGTACATGTTCTGTTTCTCCCAGTGTTGTATAAATTAAACAAATTTATGTCGTGTATCGTAAAGTTCAGTAGCAAAACTGAACACAGAAAAGATATACTACCTTGAAGGGTGGTTCTGTAAAAAATACTGAGTCCTTTCCAGAAAGTGGTGTTGAAGTTATTGATCTTGGGGAAGACACATCACTCAACTAGAAAAACAAAATGAAAACCATCAATAAAGAACGCTTCTTCAAAGCCTTTTCATCACTATTAAGAACCAACCTATTTAAGTGATGTAAATAGACCTAACAGTAATTATCTTTAAACCAAAATCAATCCCATTGCCATCAAGTCGAATTCTGATGCATAGGGTTTCCAAGGTTGAAATCTTTACGGAAGCAGACTATTGTATGTTTGAACTACCCACCATTTGGTGAGTAGCCAAATGTGTAACCGCTGTGCCACCAGGCCTCCTCTTTTACCTTCCATTAGTTCAAGGATGACATCCTTTCAAATGCAATTCAGCTACCTCACACACTTTTTGAAAGCTGGAAGGGTATAACAAAATAACTTTCCTTCAACATCAACTAGAGTCAATTTTGAAAATCTAAAAACTTCTATTGCAGTGGTTTGAAAATATGCTGAAATGAATTTAAATTATTTATTACTACCATCTGAATAATGGTTATTCTGTTTGGGGCTTATGGTTTTTTAACTAGGCCCCGCCTGTTTTCATTAGCTACTTTATGGATTTGGTGCTTCCTCCTCTATGCAGTAGTCGCTGTGAGTACAGAAATGAAAACTACTTTAATGTTACCCAATCTTAAATGTAACTAGAAAGGCAAATACACCTTAGCAATGGTTTCAGAAATCAAATAAAATTCATTTTCAACTAATTGCCTCAAATGCTACCCATCCCCACCCCTACTCCAGCTCATAATATAAACAACTAAAAATAAAATGGAGTTCATTATCTTAAGGAAAAAAAAATTCTGTCAAGTTTTTGGGAAATTTCCTTGAGGTTTTTTAAAAAGCTACCATTCAATTCTTTAGTTTTGACAAATAGGAGTCAATGTAATTTCCATACTAATGATCAAGATTCTTCATGTTACAATTTCTAATTGAAAACCATTAACAAAACATTGAAATATGTATTTAAGGGCAGTTCTAAAGTATTCCTATTCCTTTTTTCTGACCTAGTCACAAATGACATAATTATAGCTTTGTTGCTTTATGTTTGTTGACTGTTTATTTTTTACCTGGGTAGGACTGATAGGAGGTGGTGGAGCTTTGCGTTTTTTTGGAGTTCCACTTCTTTCTGAGCTTATTTTAGAGACTTGATCATGCTGAAAGTTATCACAGTCCAAAGAATGGAGGTGGGTTAGTCAGGTTAGTAAAGTCTGAGCAAGTAGCTTCATCAAACAAATAAGAAACACCTCAACAACTCATGCATTTCTTACTTTATCAAGATCTGAAATCTGCTACCAACATAAAAATAAGTAATACGCATGCTCCAAGTTTTTTCTAGCAGCCCATGCTTTAATTGCAGGAAAATAAAAACATAGGACAAACCAGGTGAAGTTGGTGGTGCAGAACCAGGCAAGTAAGGATGAAGAGTCATCCACCACAATTTAGAACCCAGAACACATTCCCAGTCTAGCTTTACACTGTAATGCAAAGGGGTGGTATTTCCTCCACATCCCCTTTATTTAAAGAAGATAACTATGGAGGAAAAATGAAGAGCCTCCTCTCTGAAGGTTATGAATAAATACATAACATTGTTGTTGTTGTTATTTGCCCTCCAGTCAGCCCCGACTCATAGCGACCCTTCCTTGGGTTTCCGAGGCAGTATCACTACGGAAGTAGGATTGCCCAACCTTCCTTCCGAGGAGTGGCTGGTGGGAGCTCTGGTAGCATAGTGGCTAAGACACTTGCCTGCTAACCAGAGGGCTGGCAGTTCAAACCCATCAGCCACTCCTGGGAAGGAAGGTTGGGCAATCCTACTTCCGTAGTGATACTGCCTCGGAAACCCAAGGAGGGGTCGCTATGAGTCAGGGCTGACTCGACGGCACATAACAACAACATACATAACATAGTTAGCATTTAATTAATTCCATGTTGAGTATTTACTCTTTATAATTTTTTCAAGGACTTTAATGTATAAATAAAAAGTACAGCAGCCAAGTATATGTTTTATCATTAATAAATAGATATTAACTAAATATAAGTTTGGGAAAAACTCCAAAATAACAGGGCAAACTTGTCAAACAGTTTCAACTCTGCAAAATAGTAGATGAGATCTTAGAAAAGCTTCAATTAAAATAACAGGAAAAAAACAAAACAAAACAAAAGCCTCTTATTTTCATTAAACGTGTTAACATTTCCATGGCTGTGGATCAGTAGTCCATGTGATATTTCAAGTATTTAAAATATTGTTATTCAGTCTCAGAGCTGAAGTCACATTAAATATTTTCACACCAGTAGGAAGAATTAGTATATTTTGGAAGAAGATATATAAGTAGCAGATTTAAAGTTACATGCTCTTAAAATCGGGTAAATCGTTAAGGAAATATTTACTACCTTATTACAATGAATCTATCTCTTCTTCCAAAGACATTTCAGTCCTAGGGTAGTTTCAATATAATCTGTATCACTGTTCTACTAGACCACAGAGTGGTTTCATATGAACATTTTCAAATTCCCACAACCAAAGAAGAAGAAAAAAAATTGTCACTTCCCCCAAAGATAAATACCTGCTTTGGTTTTGCTGGTGTCTTTAAATCTGTGGAGGAAAAGTGAAAAATGTAACTGTAAGAATCATAATGACTCATACCTATTTTGGGTGGGGACACACAGACACTAGCACTTCATTTTTCTTTAAGATCTTTTAAAAGAATAATAAAATATATCATATTGCACACATTCCTTTACCCTTTGGGGAAAATTAAGTGGATAAATTTAAAACAACACGGGCTATTTTCTTTCACATACCAGCATCCTGAGAGATTTTTGATAATAGAAGGCTTTGAATTCCTGCATTTTCTGAGAGTTTGGAATAATATAAGGCATTGTGTCCAAGAGAATCTACAAGGTTTAAATCTGCACCCTTTTTAATTAAGGCTTCCATGATGTTAGAGCTGCCAATTTCACAGGCCAGCATGAGAGCCGTTCTAGGGGAAAAAGGAGACAGCATATTAGTACTAATAAAATTTCTCTCCTGGGAAATCATGTTCACTTGTCTTGAAAACAGTGAAAAGGAGATTCAGCACAGCTAAAACTTTACTGCACTTAATCTTCTGGGAAATCCAAAATGGAGTGTGATCAATATGAAGCTGTTCTGGTTGTGGGCTGTTGAGCCAATCCCAACTCATGGTGATCCTATACCACAGAGTAGAACCGCCCCTAGTTTCCAGGGTTGCAATCTTAACCAGAGCAAATTGCCAGGTCTCTTCTCCCGTGGCACTGCTGGTGGCTTTAAACAAGCAATATCTGGGTTAGCAACAGAGTGCTTAACCATTGTACCACCAGAGCTCCTTAAGATGAAATTAGGTGGTGGCTTTCTAAAACTTTAGATCAAATCAAACAAACCACATTCAGTCAAAAAAAAAAATATATATATCTTTGATACTATTTGACATAATATGATGAAATTCACAATGATGGGTACAATTTTCGTCCTCTCCCCTCAAGCATTTTAAAGTACCTAAATACTGAGCAGCTGTGAGTTGGAATTGACTGCACAGTGATGGGCTTGGTTTTTTGATTTGACACATTGCTAAGACTATTTTTAAAAAGCAACCAATATGTTCACTTATATCTACTCAGAGTGATACTACATTGGATGACAACTTATGTAGTATGACAAGTCACAGGAAATGGCCTATTCACATCACAGTTAGCAATGATGCCCACGAGGTCTGGGAAAATCATTTTCTTAATGTCAAAAGGGATTCTTGATTATCAAAGGCAAAACATTTTTTAAAAAGTAGCAAACCACTTTATAATCAATCACTTAAAAGAAGATATACTTGTGATTGTTTTAGGAGCCTCTGAGAACGTTACCACTGACGTCATGTCTGATTGATTGGGTGGTACCTTCCATTTTTGTCCCTGGAATTGACATCTGCTCCATGATCCAGAAGGAAGCGGCAGACCTCACTGTGGCCATTTTGTACTGCGAGAATCAGTGGTATATTCCCATCCTAGGCAACAAATTCAGAGGAAGGAATTAACTCAGACACCAAAACCCAGAGTTGCAAAGGCCCTTTCTCCATCTATTCCTGCATTGTACTGCTGCTCTTACATTTGATCCACCATGATATTTTGTATCCCTACAGGGCCACTGTTCTATCTTGGCACAACTCTTCTTACGCAGTTGCACTGTTAGCTTTTCCCCAGGAACCTGAGCCTCTTGGGCTGCGTGTTCCCTTGACAATCACTCAGTCTGGGTGACGATATGAGAGATGGTAGAAGACTACGTGCATAAGGGATAAAGTCAAGTTTATCATGATGGTTGTGGAGGAAAACAAAGACTTGGTCCCACAGCCCTCCAAGGAGCACCAGTGAACTCCACGTCCCCGGCCACTCCACTGCATATCCTCTCACCACCTTAAAGCAGTCGCAGTACACTCCGACTCACGGTGAGCTGTGTGTCACAGCAGAGCTGTGCTCCATAGGGTTTTCAGTGGTTGATTTTTTGGGAAGTAGATCAACAGGACTTTCTTCCAAGGCCCCTCTAAGTGGACGTGAACTGCCAACCTTTCAGTTAACAGTTAAGCATGTTAACCATTGCTACCACCCAGAGACCCCTTTGTAATCTTGACGATTATCATAACATATTAAATGTATCAGTCTTTCCATCTCTCTCTTCATCTAGTCATGTCTCAGTGATAGACCAATAGGCTCTTCATTTACATTATGTTTTATAAATTAAGAGTCTATTGGTCTGTTAGGAGCTCTGGTGGCGCAGTGCCTAAGGCATTAAGGCTGCTAATCAGAAGGCTGGTGGTTTAAACCCACCAGCCACTCCTCAGAAGGAAGGCTGGGCAACCTACTTCCATAATGATACCACCTCAGAGACCTAAGAAAGGGTCGCTATGAGTTGGGTCCAACTCGATGGCAGTATGTTTGTTTGTTTTTAAATTGGTCTATTACTGAGACATGACTAGATAAAGAAAGAGATGGAATGAATCATCTGGTTGGTATGTTAATGAAAACTGAAAATCCATTTGGGAAAAAAGAAAACTAGATCATATAAACTAACTCAGGTAGATGAAGAATTTAAACATATTATATAAAACAAAAAGAAAAGAATATATGGGTGAGTACTTCCATAAACCATGAACTGTCGAAAGAACAAACAAATCTCTTTTGGAGGAAATCAAGCCAGAATGCTTCCTAGAAGTGAGGATGGTGAGAGTTTGTCTCAGGTACTCTGGACATGTGATCAGGGGGACCAGTTCTTGGAGAAGGATATTACACTTGGTAAAACAGAGGGTCAGTGAAAAAGAGCAAGACACTCAAGGAAATGCATTGACACAGTGACTGTAACAATGGGCTCAAAGATATCAGTGATCGTGAGAACGTGACAGGACCGGGCAGCGTTTCTTCCTACTGTACATTGGGTTGCTGTAAGTTGCAACCAACTCAGTAGCATTTAACAACAAATTTCCATAATCTTAGAGAGAGGGGCTTTTCTTAAAATGACAGAAGCCATAAAGAAAAGCTGTTATCCTGTTCCCTCCTGGAATAGACCCCACAAATGGAGTGGGTAACGATTTATAAAGTAAAAGCATCCCAATTTGCAAAGGGAAAAGATAAGTTATGACACATCCAGTTATTTAAAAACACAGTTTTTAATAATACAATTGCTGCTTAATGACTAGGCTTCCTTTTAAAGTAGAATGTGAGACAAATTTCTAAGAAATTATCTCTGTGATGTTACACTCTTTCCTAGTTATAAAGCACTGAGCATCAGGCAGAGTGAATTTATTTAGGGATTTTATACATCTGCTTCACAGTATCCCCATATGTATACATATGCTTGTCAATTCCCAGGCTACAGCATGAACTATAATCTGGGAAGTAGGTCTGATTGTTGTTGTGTGCTGTCGATTGCATTCTGATTCATAATGACCATACAGGACAGAACAGAACTGCCCTATAAGGTTTCCGAGGCATTAATCTTTATGGGAGCAGATGACCAGGTCTTCCTTCCACAGAAGAAAAGCCATTTTTGGGTTTGAACTATAGATCTTCCTCTTAGCAGCTAAGCACTTAACCACTGCACCACCAAGTGTCCTTTGTATCCTTAAGGAAATAGGATGTTGCTGTTGTTATGGGCCATTGAGTCGGATCTGACTCATAGCGACCCCTCCTTGGGTTTCCAAGGCAGTATTACTATGGAAGTAGATTGCCCCATCTTCCTTCTGAGGAGTGGCTGGTGGGTTTGAACCACCAGCCTTCTGGTTAGCAGTCAAGTGCCTTAGGTACATGTAAATTTCTTCTCAAAATAGTCTGTGAGCTTAAAATAGACTACAAAGTGATGTTCAAAGTTGGGTTACCTAGTCAGGAGATTTCCATGGGATGCAGGGAAAAAAAAAAAAAAAAGAGAACTTCTAATTAGATTTATTTTTTAAAAATCAAGTAATTAATCTTCATTACACCGCTGCTTCTCAAAAGGAAGATGAGGTGATCACTTCTGTAAAGATTTACAGCTTCAGAAACCCAATGGGGGGTCACTATGAGTCAGAAATGACTCGATGGCAGTGAGTTTGGTTTTTGGTTTTGGTTTAGTATTTAATATCTAAGTTGATGGAAGAACGTTTCAGAAATATATATACAGGAGGAAGTGCATATTCCAATGTGTCTGTAATGGTTTAAGGACAAACGGGGAATATTATAAAAATCCGTTTTGCAGAACAGACTCTATGTTGAAAAGCAACATAATTTTGCCAAATATGTCCATCTCTGAAGCCTTTGTGAAGGAGCCCCGGTGGTACAAATGGTTAAGTGCCTGGCTGCTAACCAAAAGGTTGGATGGTTTGAACCTACCAAATGGCTGCATGGGAGAAAGACCTGGCATCTGTTCCTGTAAAGATTACAGCCCAGAAAACCCAATGGAGCAGTTCTGTTCTGTCACATGGGGTCACTATGAGCTGAAATCGATTCAATGGCACCTAACAACAATAGATTCTCAAAAGTATCCCACAGTGCTTTGCAAACCAGCATGTGCCTCCACTTGGTACTTACCAAATCCTTCGTGTTTGCGGGGCTTTTGTGCTCACAGAGAATTTGCACAGCCTGAAGGCAGCCCTGTGCAGCTGAGGGAAGGAAACACAAACACCACAGTGAATATAAAGCTATTCTCACAATCTGGGGTGTCAAACACATCTAGGAAGCAAATGTCATATCCTGCTCAGCCTGTATGGATTCACTCTAATTGCATTGAAGAGAAATAGTGTTGGGCAAGTTGAGTTTAAAGTTGGGCAAGAAGTTTTTAAAATTATTGCTTAATTTCAGAGTTATCTAATCCTAAAGCTAGTAACTGCAAGTTGCTTATAAGCAAACACGGTTTAGCTTTTAGTTGGACTTAGTTGTTTTGATAATTAACAATAAAAGAAATTTGTAAATCTAATCATCCCAGAGTTCAATGTCAGAGTCTTACCATTTGATGCTGTGTGACAGACAGTAAAGCAAAACAAATGAAATTGACTGACGTTAATAACCATCCCCAAATCAAAAGTCTGCATCACGTATTACCTGAAATCTACAAATGCTTGGGATTATCTCTTAGTTTAGACAAGAACTTTAAATTAGGTAAAATACAATAACCAAGATAATTGCAATGACTGGCAGCAGGCAGTTGATGAATTCTAGGTGTATTCCTGCAAGGTGTGGAACCCTCTTGCAATACACAATTTAGCCTTTGGTCTTGGCTCCTGAAAGCTGGACCCCACCTGAGGCCAATGAGTGGGCACTGACCAGCCCAACCAAGAGAGATCATCTGGAGTCCAATACTGATTAAGCTTCAGGAGGCATGATGTAATCTTTCATGTCCACATGGTGAGGTCAATGAAAGGCCTTAGAAGATGAAGGCTCAGTAGTACTTCCCAGGTAGAGAGAGTGTGAACATTTGCTCTCTGCTCTCAGGAAGGTAAGCACGTCCACTAGGGGCATTGACGCTCTGCATGGAGACCCTCTTGGACCTTGTATCCATTTTTTTCCTGCTAGCTTAACAATAGTCCTTTCCCTGGAGTTCATGAGTTGTTCCATTGGATTATGGTATGTAAGAAACAGACAAGGGGCCAGTGCCTGCTGACCCAACCCTGGGTGAATGGGGATAAGAGAAAAGGCTGTGTGGAGCAGCTGGGGTCTGTAATGACCAAGGAAGGGAAGTTCAGATTTCCAAACAACACAGCTGGCATATGGAGTAGACTCTCTTTTCTACCACACAGTGTCGCATTGCGGGTGGGTGATCTCAGCCTCTCTGGACTACTTTAATACAATTTGTGATGAAGGGAGGATCCACTAGCATGGACTCTGACAGCTCAATTCCTTGGTAAAACTTTAGGTGTTTTTTAAATCGAATATAATGGGAATGTCTAGGAATGACAACAGAGAATGAAAGCAGGAATAGTACAGTCAGGTTAATAGCTTGAATAGGAAAGTGAAAACTTGTTTTTTCTCATTACAGAGACAACAAATAAGGGAATGAAAGCTACCTGCATAATGTAAAGCTGTTTTTCCAGAGCCATCAATACTCTCAGCTGGGCATTTAGACTGCAAGACATAAAGAAATAAAAACACAGTGTTTTTTAAATAAAATGTTTTTAAGTAAAATAAATATAATAAATATTTAAATAAAATGTCAAATAAACTGCACACATTTGATTCAGCTCATCTTTTTTCCTGAAAGACATGATGCTATATATTAGAGAGGCTATACAAACAAATAAGCCCAGTTCTACAATCCAAGGTGTCCACAATCTCATATTTGGACCACGGGAGACTCATCTCCAAGTAACCAAGACACAGGGAAACAGTTACAGCTTTGCTGCTTCACTTGTCCCTTCCTCTCCCTGCATCAATACTCTCTCCCTCTCTACTGGATCATTCCCACAAGCCAACAAACATGGTCTACAAGCTCCTACCTTGATCCCACATTCTCTCCCATTTCTTGCTATAATTCTGTTTCCCTTCACAAAATTACCTTTCTCTTGTCTACACAATCATCATGTCCCTACATGCCTAAATCCAGTGGGTCTTTGCCCTAAAGACTTCCCAGAACTGGCCCTAGTCAAGGTCACCAAAAGCCACCATGTTTCCAAGGATAAGGAAATATGTATCCTCCTCTTCTTAACCACGGGAGCTCTGGTAGTGTAGTGCCTAAGGCACTTGACTGCTAACCAGAAGGCGGTGGTTCAAACCCACCAGGCACTCCTCAGAAGGAAGGTTGGGCAATGTATTTCCATAGTGATACTGCCTCGGAAACCCAAGGAGGGGTCGCTATGAGTTGGGTCCAGCTCAATGGCACATAACAACAACAACAACAACAACAACTTATTAACCCCTAGGAGCTCTGGTGTTGTAGTGCCTAAGGCATTTGACTGCTAACCAGAAGTCTGGTGGTTCAAACCCACCAGGCACTCCTCGGAAGGAAGGTTGGGCAATCTACTTCCGTAGTGATACCACCTTGGAAACCCAAGGAGGAGTCGCTATGAGTAGAATCAACTCAATGGCAGTGAGTTTTTTTTTTTTTTGTATCAATCCTCTCCTCCAAGCACTCCCGTCTCTCAACTCCTAGAACTCTGGCTCATCCTACCCGGATTCTCCTCCCACTGCTCTAACCTCTTCTCCTCCTAAAAATACCCAAAACCAAACCAGTTGCCACTGATTTGACTCCCAATTCATGGTGACCCCATGTGTGTCAGAGAAGACCTGTGCTCCACAGGGGTTTCAATGGCTGATTTTTCAGAAGTAGATTGACAGGGCTTTCTTCAAAGGCACTTCCAGTTAGCACCACCCAAGGACCCATAGCCAAATGCACCAAATGCAAAACTTTGGGAAGGGGGTTTTCTCAGTGCTCAGTACTGGGATCCTGCCTCCTCACTCTCCAAGCTCTCTTCCTCGGTGATCTTGTCTGCACCCGTAGCTTGAAATACCATCTAGAAGGTGATAACTCACAAATGTGTACCTTAACAAACAACAATAATATACGTTATGTAAGTATTATTTATCATATACTGGATGCCAGAAAAGAGTTTGAAACCTGCTACTGAATGTACACTAGCTAAAGCGACGAGAAGAAATGATGAAGTAAAAGATCTGAACAGGAGATTTCAAAGGGTACCTTGAGAAGGCAAAGTAAAGTACTATAATGAAATGTGCAAAGAAACTGCAATAGAAAACCAAAAGGGAAGAACACACTTGATGTTCATTTCTCAAACTGAAGGAAACAAAGAAACAATTTCAAGGCTCGAGTTGCAATACTGAAGAATTCTATGCCTAGAATGTTGAATGATGCAGGAAGCATCAAAGGAAGATGGAAGGAGTGCCCAGTCACTGGACCAAAAAGAACTAGTCAACTTTCAAACATTTCCAGAGGTAGCATATGATCAAGACCAATGGTACTAAAGGAAGAATTCCTAGCTGCACTGAAGATGCTGATGAAAAACAAGGCTCCAGGTATTGATGATGGGATGTTTCAAAAAACAGATGCAGCACTAGAAGTGCTCACTTGTCTATGCCATGAAATTCAGAAGGCAGCTAGCTACCCGGCTAACCAAAGAAATAAATATTTGTGCCCATTCCAAAGAAAGGTGATCCAACAGAATGTAGAAATTATCAAGCAATATCATTAATACTACACTCAAGTAAAATTTTGCTAAAAAAACAGTTGCAGAATACATTCACTGCGAACTGCCAGAAATTCAGGCTGGATTCAGAAGACCTAGAAAGTGGATTATCATCGCTGATGTCTTATGGATCTTGGCTGAAAGCAAAGAATACCAGAAAGATGTTTACCCATGTTTTATTGACTATGCAAAGGCATTCAGCTGTTTGGATCTTAACAAATTATGGATGACACTGCCAAAGATAGGCATTCCAGAACACTTAATCGTGCTCATGAGGAACATGTATGTAGACTAAGAGGCAGTCCTTCTAACAGAACAAGGGGACATTGCATAGCTTAAAATCAGGAAAGGTGTGTGTCAGGGTTGTTTACCCTTTCACTATGCTTAATCTGCATGCTGAACAAATAATCTGAGAAACTGGACTATATGAAGAAGAAACAGCATCAGGATTGGAACAGGATTCATGAAACTGTGATATGCAGATGACACACATGCTTCCTTGCAGAAAGTGAAGAGGACTTGAAGCACTTACTGATGAAGATCAAAGACTACAGCTTTCAATATGGATTACAACTCAATATAAAACAAAAAGCCTCACAACTGGGCTAATAAGCAACATTATGATAAATGATAATCTTTTCTAAAGATTGACGTTGTCAAGGATTTCATTTCACTTGGCTCCACAACCAACAGCCATGGAAGGAACAGCCAAGAAATCAAACACCATATTGCATTGAGCAAATCTGTTGCAAAAGATCTCTTTAAAGTGTTAAAGAGGAAAGATATCACTTTGAAGACTAAGGTGTACCTGATCAAACTATGGTATTTTCAATTGCCTCATATGCATGCTAAAGCTGGACAATGAATAAGGAAGTTTGAAGAAGAATTTATGCATTTGAGTTGTGGTGTTGGCTAAGAATATTGAATATACCATGGACTGACAGAAGAAACAAATGCATCCTGGAAGAACTACAACCAGAATGCTCTTTAGAGGTGAGGATGGCATACTTTGGACATGTTATCAGGAAGGAACAATTCCTGGAGAAATATATCATGCTTGTTAAAGTAGAGAGTCAGTGAAAAAGAGGAAGACCCTCAATGACAGACTGACACAGTGGCTACAACAGTGGCCTCACACATCGCATCACTGTGAGGATGATGCAGGACTGAGCAATGTTTCATTCTGTTGTACACAGGCAGGGTCACTATGACTCAGAACTAGATTGATGACACCTAATAAGCACGAGCTGTTCTCTACCAGGCAATGTTCAAAGAATTCCTTTAAGACAGTTAACAAGCCTACTTAGTACGATTAAGTCCATTTTCAAAAAAAGAAACTGAGGCACAAAGAAGTAATTCACCCATTTCACAGTAAGTAGCAGAGCTCGGTTTCAAACTGAGACAGACTGGGCTACAGCTTGCATTCCTGCCTATACACAACAGATATCATCTCTAAGCAGTTGGTTTAATAGCCCACTGCTGCCTACACATCTCCACCCTGGTATCTCACAAGCACCTCAAACACAGCACAGCCAAAACTTGGTTTCTCCTCACTCATGCCCAACCTAATGTTCCCAACTCTTTCCAGTCTCTGCCAATAACACCATAACACCATCATCAAACTAGTTAACAGGCCCCAAACTGTCAATCTCTAAGTTCTTCTTCACTTCCTCCCCCATCTAATCTACTACCTGGTCCTGCCAATTCTTCCTCTAAAATGTATCCTCGATCTCCCCTTATCCCCTCTCTGTATGGAGCTTAAATTCTAAAGCACTTGGTTTGTGGAAGGCTGTGATCTACAGTGGGACCCCAACTCCATTTTGAGTCTTGACATAAATTCAGATTCCATTTGAATTCAACAATGTGGCTATGCTTAGACAAGTCTGGGGCAAGCCCAAGGAGTGGCAATTTGTCTTCAGGAAGAATGTGGTTAAAAGTAGATTAACTAGTATGTAGAAAGGTGCTCACACAAAGAACTAGGGAACTAACCTGGGCATGTTCTTGACAATCAGAAGCTGTTATTGAAGTTGTTATCAAGGTTGGGGTTCTGATATTGTCTTGTAACTTCCTTGAATATGACTCAGAGTTGCTTGATCGTAAGTCATACCTCAACCACAATGTAAGGCAGGTAATCAAAATCCCAGAACTAATCCTGTAACTTTTTTAACCTGCAATTATGTATGTATTCCAATCACGGTCCTTTCCAGCTTCTGTGGTCATCCCTGCAACAGCGATTAATCAATCTACCACGAATTGTGATCTTGTGATGATTTTCTTTGTTCTCTATCATATATAACGAACACTATGACTTTAGAAAGCCTGACAAAGGAAGTTGGAAGGAATACACTGAGTCACTGTACCAAAAAGAATTGGTTGATATCCATCCATTTCAGCAGGTGGCATATGGTCAAGAACCAGTGGTATCGAAGGAAGAAGTTGATGCTCCACTGAAGGAATTGGTGAAAAACAAGGCTCCAGGGATTGATGGAATACCAACTGAGATGTTTCAACAAACGAATGCTGCACGAGAGGCACTCACTAGATTATGCCAAGAAATTTGGAAGACAGCTACCTGGCCAACTGACTGGAAGAGATCCATATCTGTACCCCTTCCAAAGAATGCAGAAATTATCAAACAATATCATTAATATCACATGCAAGTAAAATTTTGCTGAAGATAATTCAAGAATGATGGCAGCATTATATAGACAGAGAACTTCCAGAAATGCAAGCTGGATTCAGACGAGGACATGGAATGAGGGATATTATTGCTGATGTCAGATGTATCTTGGCTCAAAGCAAAGAATACTAGAAAGATGTTTACTAGTGTTTCATTGACTATGCAAATGCATTCAATTGTGTGGATCATAACAAATTATGGATAACAGTTCAAAGAATGAGAATTCCAGAACACTTGATTGTGGTCATCAGGTACCTGTGGAGGCTGTCATTGGAACAGAACAAGGGGATACTGCATGGTTTGAAATTAGGAATGGAGTGCGTCAGGATTGTGTCCTTTCACCATACTTATTCAATCTGTATTCTGAACAAATAATCCAAGAAACTGGACTATATGAAGAAGAGCATGGCATCAGGATTGGACAAAGACTCATTAACAATCTGTGATATGCAGATGACACAACTTTGCTTGCTGAAAGAGAGGATCACTTGACAAATTAATAATGAAGATTAAAGACTTCAGTCTGCAGTATGGATTACATCTCAACATAAAGAAAATGAAAGTTCTCACAATTGGGCCAATATGCAGCATCACAATAAATGGAGAAAAGATTGAAGCTCTTAAAGATTTCCTATTACTTGGTTCCATGGTCAACACTAATGGAAGCAGCAGTCAAGACATCAGATGATATACTGCACTGGGCAAATATGCTGCAAAAGACCTCTTTAAAGTCCTCAAGAGCAAATATGTCTTCTTGAAGACTAAGGTGCACCTAACCCAAGCCATGGTATTTTCAATTGCCTCATATACATGTGAGAGCTGGACAATGAACAAGGAAGATGGAAGAAGGGTTGATGCATTTCAGTTGTGGTGTTGGCAAAGACTTCTGAAAGTACCGTGGACTGCTAAAAGAACTAACAAATCTGTCCTGGAAGGAAGTGCAGCCAGAATGCTCCTTAGAAGAGAGAATGGCCAGACTTTGTCTCACCTACTTTGGCCATGTTGTCAGAAGGGACCATTCCCTGGAGAAGGACATCATGCTTGCTAAAGTGGAGGGTCAATGAAAAAGGGGAAGGCCCTCAACAAGATGAATTGACATGGTGGCTACAATGATGGGCTCAGGTATAGCAAGGATTGTGAGGTTGGCACAGGACCAGGCAGTGTTTTACTCTTTTGTACATAAGGGTGCTATGAGTTGGAGCTTTTGTACATAGCACCCTTATGTACAAAATTTTCTTTATGTTGAGATGTAATCCATACTGCAGACTGAAGTCTTTAATCTTCATTATTAATTTGTCAAGTGATCCTCTCTTTCAGCAAGCAAAGTTGTGTCATCTGCATATCACAGGTTGTTAATGAGTCTTTGTCCAATCCTGATGCCGTGCTCTTCTTCATATAGTCCAGTTTCTCAGATTATTTGGCACCTAACAACAACGACATGACTGTGATTCAGCGGATTCCACTAGTCTCTATACTGGGTACATGGTGATGGTTTCCCTTACGTGGATGTCTTTTTGTCTTGTTTTAGGACTGATAAAAGGGTCTCTACAGAACATTTTTCCCTAGCACAGCTACTACCACCCTAGTCTAAGCCAGCACTTCTCAGCTGGTGGGTTCCAATCGCCTCCTGATGGGTCTCCTTAGTTCCACTGTTTCACCCTTTAATCAATTCTCTGTATAACAGCGGAGTAATCTTCTTTAACTGTGAATGTCACTTCCTGTTTATAAGTCTCACAGGTGCCCATGGCAGTTAGAATTAACTACAGTCCACCTATCATGACTACCGGCCCTAAGAAACCCAGTCCCTGCATTCTGGGCCCTCTCCTCCTCACTTGCATGCCCTAGCCCCACTCTCTCTGGCTTTCTTCCTTCCCTGACCAGGGCCTTTGTCCTACCCTAGGCCTTGTCCTTGCTGTCTCATCTGTTTAGAATGCTTTCCCCTTAGGCATCCTTTCCAGTTCAGTTTAAATACCTCCTCCTCAGTAAGGATGCCCTGCTGGAGGTACTCACTTGGCTATGCCAAGAAATTTGAAAGACAACTGGACGGCACCAAATAACCGCCTCAGTAAGGCCTGCCCTGAGCACTGCCATCTTATAAGGAGAGAGTTCCTTAGTGCTCTGCAGTATTTAAATTGTGGTGAGATATGCGCAACAACACATTGGCCATTTCAATCATTTTTATGTGCACAATTCAGCAACATTAACTGTATTCACCATGCTCTGCAACCATCACCATTATTCATTTCCCAATTTTTTCATTACCCTTTCCTTAAGCTACAACTTCCCTTTTCCCTCTTCTTCCTCCCCTGGTAACCACTAATAAACTTTTGCCTCTATACATTTGGAATAGGCGTTATGTTGTTCGTGAGTGTATACTCAATGCTTGACACAGTACGTAGTGCCCAGGAAATACTTATTAGGAGAAAGGGTGGGAGGAATAATGGTCATCCAGTTCATTTGAATTTGAAGATTCTCACAAGACTCTATTTGTGCTCATTGCCTAGAGGAGGCAGAACTTTAAAATGGAGAAGGGAAGTATCTCCAGCAGACAGTGAGAGCAAAGACCCAGAGAGCTCAGTAAATGCAGAGGGTGTGTGGTAAGGGGATGCCGCTGTTGTTAGTTGCTGCTGAGCTGACACGTGTTACACAGTCGAACTGCTCCCTAAGGTTTTCAAGGCTGTGACCTTTTGGAAGCAGATCATTAGGTCTGTCTTTGGAAGTACCCGTGGGTGGGTTTGAACATCTAATCATCTAATCCAGGAGTTAATTCTCCTGGAATCCAGATTCTGGTTTCCATGGAGGTGGGGGTGACCCACCCCGGCCTCTGCCCTGAGGTGATCTTTTGAACCATGAGACTCAGCAGTTGTTCTAATTGTTAGGTGCCGTCTATTTGGTTCTGACTCATAGAGACTCTATGTATAACAGAACGAAACACTGCCCAGTCCTGCGCCATCCTCACAATCCTTGCTAGGCTTGAGCCCATAGTTGTAGCCACTGTATCAGTCCAACTCATGGAGGGTCTTCCATTTTTTTGCTGATGCTCTACTTTACCAAGCATGCTATCCTTCTCCAGGGAATGGTCCCTTCTGACAACATGACCAAAGTAGGTGAGACAAAGTCTGGGTCTCCTAAAAGTCACCTTTAAGTCAGACAATGTTGTTGTTGTTATGTGCCGTGAGTCGGATCTGGATCCCACTCATAGTGACCCCTCCTTGGAGTTCCAAGGCAGTAGCACTAGGGAAGTAGATTGCCCAACCTTTCTTCTGAGGAGTGGCTGGTGGGTTTGAACCACCAGCTTTCTGGTTAGCAGTCAAAGTGCCTTAGGCACTACGCCACTAGATCTCCTTAAGTCAAACAATAGTCTGGCTAATTAGTAAATAGTATTTTGCCTTGGGCATTGTGCTCTTTTGAAGAATTCTGTTTTAACAACTACCCAGAGAGAACAGTGTTGACCAGGTGGAAATTAGGGGAGGCAAGAACAGGCCACCTGAGAGTGAAGTGTCTGCCCTTCAGTGGTGAGAAGAATGGAGATCAAGTTCCAACTTACCATGCTTTGGCCTAATTTTAGAACAGTGCAAGGAACTGTTTAAGAGCTACAAAGATTCCAGAAAAAAACCAACCATTTGCATAACCAGATATAAAATTACATTAGAGGCTAGAATATCTGGTCCTTGCCCATGAGGATTTCCAGCTTGTCAGGTTAAGTCTTCTTTCAAATCAGAGCCAGATGCAAAGTCTGCAGAGCCAAACAGGGAGGGGATTGGAGATTTAAAACACAAATAAATAAAAGTAATTGAGGCCAGACTGAGGGTGTGGAGGCGGGGCACTTGAGCAAGTCACTGTTGTCATTTATCCAAAGTGCATGGTCCCAGAGGAGGCAGATAAGGAAAGTTTTCTTTTCACTGTTTTCAGGAGGAAGTCACATAAGGCAGCACCACAGGAGTGCACGTATTTGTCTTGAATTTAGCTTCAAAGACCTGCTAAGGTTAAGCATTCCTAGCATTGGTGGTAGCTTGCATCATGTAATGCAAGACAAGAAGCTGTGTGATCCACAGAGCATGAAAAGTTGAAGAATGTGACCACATTTCTTCATTAAAATTGCAAAGGCAAATTAGTGCAAGATGCTCGCTCCCAAACAGTGCTTGGGAAGGCGGAGACAACGGTTAAACAGAACACAGGCCTCCCAACACATATTTCATTGCTCCATGCTGTTCCTGAAAACAGCCAGCTTACATTTTGGATGCCAACAGCTGGGGGTCACTGTACAGACCGCTATTGGGAGTTTAAGAAATACTCATCTTTAAGAATTTATGAAAGCTGTCATTTTCAAGGATCATCGTAAACTTCCTGGCAAGGTTACTGAACCCAGGAGTTGACTTAAAATGATAAAGAAGGATAAAACCAAGCACTTCAACAAAAACCAAGAACTATAAGCCCATCACGTTACACTCAAGGAAATAGTGATTGAAATTTTAGTGGCTGCATTCTACGAACAATTTAAAGAGAGAATGACAGTAAGATAAGGCAGTGGTCATCAAAAGTCTCCCAACAGCACAAAAGAGTTTGAAAAATGGGCTTATTTAGGAGGCACAATCTTTCAGGAAATAAAAAGAAGGGCTAAGTGAAGGGGAGGAAAAGTCTGGGTTCCAGGAAGACAGAGTCTGTGGAAACAATCTTCTGGGAAGTCATTTCAGTAAAGAAGCTTCTTAGGAAACCCACGGTTCGGGGATAGTGTTTAAAGGAGTGTGCATGGTGGGAGGGGGCATTTCTTCTCTCAGAAAACACTAGTTTAAACTTTTGAAAATGACACATTTACAAGTTTAAGTTGTCACTACTTTACCTGAAGGAGCTTCCTGACGCATTCATGATGACTGTTCTTGGCTGCGAGGTGCAAAGCGCTGTGTCCTAAAGGGGTTTGAAAAAGAAAATTGGGGGAAAAAAAAGACCACACATTTTTAATCTCTTTCTTATCTCCGTAATGAAGACAACTATGCGGAAATAAAATGTTCTCCAACAAAGAAGGAATTGTTGCTCTTCAGAAGTAAGGTGGGGAGCAGCAAACACTCCATCCACCAGATAAGATTCACAGACCGCCCCAAGTGCCACTCTCCTGGGGCACAGTTAAGTTCTAGGCTATAGCTTTGTGGTGTGTTCAAGTTCTTCTTACAGCTATCAATATGGCCAATATCCCATCCATACCAGGCAGGGCCACCCCATGCCTGGGAACCCAAAAAAGACAGCCCAGCCCACAGGCCAGCAAAGAAAATACCAAAGACCTATTTGCTTAAAGATGTTTACTTGTGTTTTACTGACTACTTTTGACCTGTCATTTTTCTCTCTTCCAAATATGCTCTAAGCCCCTGAACGGAAATTACCTGGACTTTGCAGATTCTCAAAGTTCACATGTAGGAGGGAAAGAGTTGTAAAAACAACAATAAAACACTATCAAAGTAGCATTTCTTTACTAGAATACAACTCCAGTATGATGGATTTGACATTTCTGTGGTCAAATTTAGGAAACCCTAATGCTATACTGGGAGCTCTGGTGGCATAATGCCTAAGGCATTTGACTGCTAACCAGAAGACTGGTGGTTCAAACCCACCAGGCACTCCTCAGAAGGAAGACTGGGCAATCTACATCTGTGGAGATACTGCCTCAGAAACCCAAGGAGGGGTCACTGAGTTGGGACCGACTCGACAGCAATGAGGTTTTTTTTTTTTTTCCTTTAAATGCTATACTTGGAATCTCTGGATGATGCAAATAGTGAATGTGCTTGGCTGTTAACCAAGAGTTTGGAGGTTTGAGTCCACTCAGAAAGGCGTGGCAATCTATTTCTGAAAAATGAGCCATTGAAAACCCTATGGAGCACAGTTCTGCTCTGACACACATGAGGTCACCGTGAGTTAGAGTCAACCTAAGGACAACTGGTTTAATGCTACACCCAACCGCCTCATCTATGTTTGTTGTTGTTGGGTGCCGTCGAGTCATCTCCAACTCATAGGAACCTTATGCACAGCAGAACGAAACACCACCTGGTCCTGCGCCAGCTCCATGATCCTTGCTGTACTTGAGCCCATCGCTGCAGACACTGTGTCACTCCATCTTGTTGAGGGCCTTCCCCTCTTTCATCAACCCTCCACCCTACCAAGCATGACATCCTTCTCCAGAGAATGGTCTCTTCTGACAACACGACCAAAGTATGTGAGACAAAGTCTGGCCATTCTCTCTTCCAAGGAGCATTCTGGCCACACCTCTTCCATCTATAATGAGCCTACAGAATTTCTATGGAAGAAGTGTCTAGGGGCAGCCTAAAGAGCAGGAGTGTGGCTAATAGACCCCAGAGCCTTTGCCACTGCTCTTTGCCTAGCCTGGATTTCTTTTCCTAGGATAACCAAAAAGCCAGCTCCCTCGTCTCCTTCAGATGTTAACCAAAATGTCACCTTCTGGATGAGGCCTTTCCTGAACTCCGCAGTTAAAATTCCAGTTCTTTCCTAATGCTTTCATCCCAACTCCTTGCTTTTTTTTTTCCCCCCATAGCATCTAGCACCTCCTAAGATTCCTTCTCATGCCTCTCTCTCTCTCTACACACACACACACACACACACACACAAATTATGTAGTTAATTGTTTTTTTTTCCTCACTAAAATGCAAGCTCAATGAGGACAGCAGTTGTCTTTCCTATTCCTTGCCATATCCCGAGCCTACAAAAACATAGGTGGCGCATAGTAGGGTCTCTATAGATACTTGTGAATTTGAGGCAGAACCCAAACCAGTTGCCAGCCAGTCAATTCAGACTCCTGGTGACACCATGCGTGTCTGAGTAGGCCTGCACTCCACAGGGCTTTCAGGGTTGATTTTTGAGAAGCTGATCACAGGCCTTTCTTTGAAGAGCCTTTGGGTGGAATCCAACAGACAACCTTTTGGTTAGCTGTGAGCATGTCAGCCAGATGAGTCACCCAGGGACTCCAATTTGAAGCAGAGGGTATGTTAATTTCAAGTGGCTGGAGTTGGGAGAGGTATGGGAACCATAGGTACCACTACCAGCCAACCCAGTACACCTAGTGAACTCATAAATCCTGCATCTCCCAAACTATGTAACCAAGATACTCCCTCTGTACTCCACTCCCATCCATGTAACATGTGTAAACAGTCTACACTTTGGGACATAGCTTAAAGCATTATTTCTCAACTTTAGCACTGTTGACTTTAAACTGGATAATTCTTTGCTATAGGGGCTGTCTTGTACATTTTAAGATGTTAAGCAGCATCTCTGGCCTCTAGCCACTAGATATCTAGTTGTGATGATCAAAATTATCTTCAGACATTGCCAGATGTTACCTGGGGGTTCTTAGCCCCCAGCTGAGAACGACTGACTTAGAGGAACAACTTCTTTTATATGGTGGCCCAGTCCCAAAATATCATTTCTCCTTTCTGAATTGTTTTCATTCTCTTGGAATTATTCTCACTAACTACAAATCCACTAATCAGACTTGGATTCACAATCAATACCCATGGAAGCAACAGTCGAGAAATCAAATGACATACCGCACTAGGCAAATCTGCTGCAGAATTACTGATGCTTTTGAATTGTGGTGCTGGCAAACAATACCGAAAATCCCATGGTTTGCAAGAGCAAACGAATCTGTCCTGGAAGAAGTACAGCTGGAATGCTCCTTAGGAGCCAGAATGGCTAGACCTGGTCTCTCATGTTGTCAGAAGGGACTATTCCCTGGAGTAGGATATCAGCATAAAAGGGCAAGACCCTCAACAAAATGGATCAATAAAGTGGCTGCAACGATGGGCATAGCAATAATTGTGAGGATGGTGCAGAACCAAGAGGTGTTTCATTTTGTTGTACATAGGGTCACTATGAGTCAGAACCAACTCGACAGCACTTAACAACAACACATGGCTAAGAAACATCATATTTTTAAATTAAAGAGTTATAACACTGGGGTAGTTAAGGTTGTGCATCAACTTGGCTGGGCCTGGATGTAGTTATTCCCCATGATGTGACTGGTAATCAACTCTAGGTGGATTCTTCTGTGAACAGCTTTGTAGCTGCCTTGTGGATGTGATCTACTTCTAGTATATAAGAAGAAGCCTTGACAAAGGTCTCGAGCTTTTGGCACAACTGGATCTTGCATTTGGCCAAGTCAAAATTTAAAGAGTATGTGTGAGGGGAGTGCTTTAGAGTGGGCAGAACTTAGAGGGACAGGGATCCTTCTCTGCCATACTAAAAGCAAAACAATGCCTAGGATTAGGAAATGAAGCAAAACGGACCCTTGGAAGACAAAGATCTTTACCTCCTCTCCCCTTGTATACCCTGGGAGATTTCCCTCTTCAGGGGATGTAGAACACTTAACAGTAGGGGGTCAGTTATATTAATAATGAAGTAGGCTTTGGTGAGCTAGCTTGCACCTTGACCTTCATTCATCCCACTGGTTCTAAACACAAGCACACTTAAGAATTTTAAGCAATTGCGTTACAAATGACCTTCTGGAACACATCCTGATGGTAAGTTAGACATTGTTCATACCATGTATGCAATGCATTAGTTTTTGTCTGTGCCACAGACAAAAGCTATTCGACATCAACAGCCCCCATTTGAAAACACTGCAACGTTCTCCAAAGACAACATGGTAGGGGAATTTTAAATAAAAACTTAATGTAAATAATAGGCTTTCCATTTTGCTTCAAATGTTCTAGTCATACGTGGAAGTAAGTTGTTGTACTTCTGGAGAAGTGAACTTCTTTTATTCCCTAGCTCTGGGATGTGTTTTCCTAACCAGCAGCAGAAAAGTATTTTTCACTTAAAACAGTCTCAAAATCCAAATGACACATCATTCCCTGGACACTATTACACTGAAGTGAGATGTCTCTCACTACTAACATTAAAACAAAATTCTCTCTCCAAATGTGAAATATGCTAGACACAATATATTTTATTAGTGACAGAATCTTGCTGTAATGAAATGATGCATTAAGTCTGGCTTCCATACAATCTGGTTTTATCTAGAATATCACAGAGCAATTTCCCTATAGGCAAATAAAAAGGGCAACTCTAATTCTAGTGCATTCCACAAAGTTTTACTTGCAGGTAAAAGTGTCAGTACTATTTACAAGCCAGAGTCCCTGGATGGTACAAATGGTTATCATGCTTGGCTGCTAACCAATAGGTTGGAGGTTTGAATCCATCCAGGGACACTTCAGAAGAAGGGCTTGGCATCTGACTTCCAAAAACTTGGACACCGAAAACTCCATAGAACGCAGCTCTACTCTGGCACATGTGGGGTTAACAAAAGTAGGAATCAACTCAGTGCAACTGTTTTACTCATAAGTCAAGAATCTTGGACCATTATAGGTGTATGTTCATAATACTATTACTGAGATTTGAGGTAGGATGGCCCAGTAGCCCCAGACACAGAGTACCCTTCTCCAAACCACCTCAGACAATGACTGTTCAATTTTTAAGGTCCTTGAAGAAATAGGGAAGAATTAATATAATAGTGTGGTAGTTAAGTTTGTGTGTCACCTTGGCTGGGCCTACTTGAGTGCCTGGCAGCTGGATGTAATATTCCCCATGGTGAGACTGGTAATCAATGCCATAGTTGAATCTACTGTGAGCAGCTGAGTAGCTGCCTTAGGGATACAGTCTGCTTCCTGGATATAAGGAGAAGCCTTGGAGAACAGTAGCTAGCTTATGGCACACTTGAACCCTGCGTGTAGTTTGAGTTGTTGTTCAGCAGCCTGCCATGCTCTGTAGACCTTGGGACTTTCAACGGATTTGAATGAATGGTCTGCCGTGTGGTTTGGTAACATGAGGACTGTGTGTGCCTTTTTACTTGTCAACCTTGGGCTTGTCAGCCTCAGCAGCCAGAAGCTGTCTCAGTGAAGAAAAGC